CCTTTTCCGTCTGCGAGATCAGGAATGGTTTAGGGTTTAGAGTTTAGGGTTTAGGGTTTAGGGTTTAGGGTTTAGGGTTTGGGGTTTAGGGTTTAGGGTTTAGGGTTTAGACTTGAGGGTTTAGGGTTTAGGGTTTAGAATCGGGGTTTGGAGTATATTCTACTGTCTATGATCCCGATTGCTGGGGTCTACACCCTCGAAGTCGCTACTGGTAGCAGGCCACAACCACCAGAGAAAAAGACTGCGTTTAGGGTTCAGGGTTTAGGGTTTAGGGCCATATCGAGTGCATCAACTATTTGGGTAGTTTTCGAAAGGTAGGGTCACTTTCTAGGTCCCCAAAATAGGACGGCAACCTTATAACACGGACCCCAAAAGAGATCCTAATTTAGAGAACTACCTATTTGTGCTTAGCAATACTCTGCTGGAACGTGAAATTCAACGATGCCCATACAGTCCCTGAACCCAACACCCTAAACCGCAGTGTCAACATACGCTTCAGCAGTAGATAGACGGCTTGACTGAAAGACTGGTGGACTGATAGATAGACAGGGGTTTAGGGTTTAGGGAGACAGAAAGACAAACACACGGACAGACAGACAGACAGACAGACAGACAGACAGACAGACAGACAGACAGACAGACAGACAGACAGACAGACAGACGGACAGACAGAGATGCAAATGCCGGTGCAGATGTAAATAGAAATGTGGGTGCAGCTTCATAAACAGACATAGGTATAGATAGAGACACAGTTAAATATGTAAATATAGACACGGATACAGGTAATTACAGATACATAGATGTAAGAAGAGATGGACGGAAGATACAGATATAGATACAGATGCAAATATAGATGCAGATATAGAAGCATGTGCTGCTGCAAAGTTGTTTCGGACCTTGAACTCCCCCAGGCCATGATATTAAAGCCCTTACACCATCAAGTCAGGAAACCCTAAACCCTAAACCCTAAACCCTAAACCCTAAACCCTAAACCCTATACTAAGAATAAGAATACCCAAGACAGCAATGCAGGCCGCTTCGGACTGGGGCACTGAAAAGGCAAACCATGAGTCTTGCAACCTCGTTGGGCCTAGGATTGCTTCAGTTATCCAGGGTTTTAGGGTTTCGGGTTTAGGGTTTAGGGCAGGGAAGCAGGAACTAACAGGACGATCATTACATGAGGAAAGAAACCTCATGACGCTTGTAAGTGGGGCACGTAGCACCCAAGATTAGCGCATGTCTCTGCACCGCTCCTTTCTCCGACTTCACTTGTGAAACCAGTAGTTTTTTCCAGGTGCTACGAGTGGCAACTTCTACATCGCCTTGCAATACCAAGCAAGGAGCCTGAACGTGTCTAAGATTACCCTAAACCCTAAACCCTAAACCCTAAACCCTAAACCCTAAACCCTAAACCCTAAACCCTAAACCCCTAAACCCCTAAACCCCTAAACCCCTAAACCCTAAACCATTATGGGTTATGGGCCCTTAAGCCTTCTACGGGGGTTCTTGGGACCCTCAAGGGTACATTTGCGGGGAATAGAGTAGGTGTATAGGGTTTCGGGTTCAGGGTTTAGTGTTTAGGGCTTAGGGTTTCGGGTTCAGGGTTTAGGGTTTAGGGTTTAGGGTTTAGGGTTAAGGGCCCATACTGGGCCCATGGCTCCAACGGTAGAAAGTGGTTGCATAATGCATGAACCCTACTGAATGGGCCGTAATAATTAGAACAAGGTTTTGGGGGTTCCTTATGATAATACTAATAATAAGGAACCCCCAAAAATATAGTTATAGTATAGTATGCCCCAAAACCCTATTCTAAGCATGAAGGCCCCTATATTACGCCCGGGCCCCAACTCCAAGCTCGAATGACCTGCTAATAGGTCGCTATGATAACCCTTCATAGGGTTTGGGCTTAGGGTTTAGGGTTTAGGGTTTAGGGTTTAGGGTTTAGGGTTTAGGGCGGAGCGGAACAGAGCACGCAGCGGGCAACAGGCCCAGTTGAGAGTACTTTGAAAACTTCGGTGCAGAAAATCTCGGCGCATCCGTCGGCTGCAAGGCACAGCGGGCAATGACGACGACCGGGCTCGAGTTTCCGTCATGTGATCCCTACCATGCGGCCCAGGCTTAATGCTCTTAAGATCCCCGAACCCTAAACCCTGAACCATATCTGAAACCATATGGGAGCTTCCGAAAACAAGGGCTACCTTATTTTTTGGGGGGTCCTTAGAATAAGGATCCTACTACTTAGGGTACTATATTAGGGTCCCCTATGTCGGAAACCCCTATATGTGAAGATTGTAAGACTGGGGATTCCCCCTGACATGGTCCCTACTACGGAGATCGACTCTGGGCCAAAGCCCCCCAAACAGACCAGGGTTTATCAAGGCCCACCCCCAAACTCAAAATGCTAAACCTTAAACCCGAAACCCTGCAGCTCAAGATTTGACCCTAAACCCTAAACCCCTAAACCCTTTTAAAAGCCTTGCTTCCTGTGATCGGCCCTTTAGAAGCTGCTACAGATGTCAAACCCGGGACCCAAGTGTTTCGGTGGGTTTCCGAGGTTTGGAGCTTATAGGGTTTAGGGGTTTAGGGTTCAGGGTTTAGGGTTTCGGGGTTCAGGGTTTAGGCGGTTGAGGGTTTTCGCGGTTTCTTGTAGGTTCTGCGGTGCTGTGGTGGATGGGTGGTATTTGGACCCCTAAACCCTAAACCCTAAACCCCTAAACCCTAAACCCTAAACCCTAAACCCTAAACCCCTAAACCCTAAACTCCCATCATGCTCCGAGCAACTGCACCTGTTCAAGGCGGAGCCTCAGCGAAGCCGGTGGAAAGACCACATGGGAGTTTCCGAAAATAAGGGGTACCTTATTTTGGGGTCCTTATAATGAGGATCCTACGATTTGGGGTACAATCTTAGGGTCCAGTATTTTCGGAAACCTCCGGATGCTTCGAATGAACGAGGAAGTCTCCGCAACATGCCATGAATTCCCCCGGTTCGCACGAACCGTATGCGTCCAAGCGCTGCAACGTCTTGAAACTAGGGTTTTCGGACCGCTTGTAGTATAAGTAAGAACTATATGGGCACTAATTATAAGATATGTTGCGTCGAAAGATTTAAATTTATGCTAACCTGCCAGGTCAGACGGCAAGGAGAAGTGCCGCAGCCGCGGCGGGTTTACCGATCCATGAAGAAACGTTTCCGTGCGACTGCAGCCCGGAGTGCTTTGGGCTGGTCCTCGATCTCCTTCATCACCTGGCTTTTGAAGTAACCAGGGAGAAAAAAGTATAGAATTTTATTTTATTATTAATGGCTCCTTTAAGGAACAGGTCCCAAAAAAAAAGCATCAAAGTATGGTACTCCAAAGCCCAGTCACGCTCTCCAGCTGCTTCACCCAGTGTTTGTGAGTGTAATTCACTGGTGCACTTGCATGCGCAGCTGTGTAGGGATTGGTCCGGTCGTCCATAGAATGAAAGCTGTGACTCCGCTCCTTGAAGCGCACTTCAGGAGTGGAAACTCCGGCTTCATCTTGAAAGACTGCCGGCTGCACAGTTTCAACGACGGTGCTTGAGGTACAACCCATTCGCGCCCTCAACTGAACCACGGATGGAAACAGATCGAGCTTTGAGACAGATTGAGCCGCAAACTTACGGCGCCTGAGAGATCAAAGACGTTGGATCCAACTCTCCTGGTGAGCTGGAGCTTTGGTATTGGTGACACTTCAGACGCTCTTCAGCTTTGTTGTATATTCACGGCTTAAACTTTCAACCCGAATCTCTGATCCTAAACCCTCGGCCCCACGCCTGAATTTCTAAACTTGGGCTGAAGATCGCATGTTGCTTCACATGACTCCACACACCTTCCCAGAGCACCGGGCTTTGCATTTTACTCTCCGGCTAACCTTGTTAGTGTGCCGACTTCTTCTGCTGATCCCTTGCCTTCGCTTAACAAGAGCTGAATACCCCAGATGTCGGTCAAATTATGGAGGGATCCAAAAGCTGCTTCAGAGTACATTGCATCATGAAAGCCGCACGGAGCAAGCCCCTTTCCCTACTAGTACCGCGCAGCGCCTCGCATCCCTCATCCGTTGCCGTGAAGAAGCCTGGGTCCACTACACCCTAAACGCCCTAACCCCTAAACCCCTAAAGCCTGGGCTAAGGGTTTAGGGTTTAGGGTTTAGGGTTTAGGGTTTAGGGTTTAGGGTTTAGGGTTTAGGGTTTAGGGTTTAGGGTTTAGGGTTTATAGAACACCTAGAACAAGGGTCTAGGAGATACGGAGTCAGGCTGGCGGCTAAGGCTTGAAGGGGTTGGGGATTGCGGACCCTGGGACCTAAATAGGGTTTTGTGCAGGGTTTAGGGTTTAGGGTTTAGGGTTTATGGTTTAGGGTTTAGGGTTTAGGGTTTAGGGCAGGGTTTTGGGTTCAGGAAACCTGGCGGTGGAAGTTTACCGCAAGCTTCATCCGCCTTGCAATAGCCAAGGTCCCTCCAAAGCAACAGGCAAGGCTTGAAAGGCGGCCTCACCTCGTGAACTCAACGCCACAACACTTCCTAGACCCGAGGGGTTTAGGGTTTAGGGTTGATTTGGGGGCCATAGAAGTCAAAGTGTCCATGGGCCTGGCAGTCTTACAGAGCCTTTTGGGTTTTAAGATGCTAGACAGCTCTGAGTCTCCAGTTTCTGGGAGAAGTTCAAGCCGAGATTGCCCATGAAACTTTAGATGACCTCCAGCCTGCAGAGACATGCCGCAAGCTTCCGAAACCAGCCTTCCATAGCCTTCATGTAGGGGCCTTAATGTGGGGGGGGGGGGGTATAGTACGTAATTACACCTACCGGATAGCCCTACTAATGCTTATTCAGGCTCCTATATTAACCTCAAGGGGCTCCCATGCTGTCCTCCAGGGTCCAGAGGCTAGGCTCGCGCAGATTGGGACCCAAGCAGGGGCAAAAAGCGCTAGGGTTTAGGGTTCAGGGCTAGGGCGTATCCGAACCAGCCGACCGACGCAAGAGGGCATCAAGCTTGCTCACCACTGTATATGTTTCAGGTTCTGCGTTTGGGATCATTGAACTCGAACGAGATTGGCACAAAGACCTGCTGTAACGTTTGAGGTGCGACAGTACTCCATAGTTTGCAGGTGTAGATGAGCCCCTGACTTCAAGAAAGATATATACCCCAAGCCCTGAAATAACACCCTTGAAGCCTTGCACCGGCACATCCTTCACTACAAGAAACCCGCCATACCCTAACCTCCTAAACTCCGCACTCACGGCAAAAAAGCTCCAAAAACCCAAAACCTAAACCCCTAGTCCCCGAAATCCTAAACCCGAAGACCCCTAAATCCTAAACCCTAAATCCTAAGCCCTAAACCCTAAACCACTACACATCCTAAACCCCCCAAACAAGCGCCGGGAGGCAGTAGCCGCGCCTTGATAGTCCGATTTCATTGGCCTCACCGGCCTGAGACTTCGGTTTAGGGTTTAGGGTTTAGGGGACTGGGGCCTGATGTCGGGGCCTTAATACTTCGAATAGGGTTTTGGGTTCCTTTATGGTATTATTATAACAAGGAACCCTAAAGGTAATAGTGGTAACTTATTTAGGCTTCTATATTAAGCTCCCTAAGCCCTAAACCCTAAACCCTTCAGGCTTTAGGCTTTAGGGTTTAGGCTTTACTGTTGAGGGTTTGGGCATCAGGGGCTTTAGGCTTCAGGGCTTCCTTTTTTGGCTATGTTTTAGGGTTCTGGGATTTAGGTTTGAGGTGGCCCCAAACCAATTCCTTGTATGGTTTAAGCCTGCCAACAGAAAGCTCTTTCGGATTTATGGGTGCGGACGGGAACCAACCGCTTTTAGTGCCGTTTGGCGCCAAGCCAATAGATATCAATGGATGCTGAGAGCAGCATGCGTCATGCACTAGGATGGTGGTCAGTCCAGCAAGTGGGTCCGCTTCCGCTTGCCGGGGCAAGTCAGGATGTAGGTACGTGTGCCAATGTATGCCTTTTATCTGTACATGTGTACAAACGTTCGCACGTACGTACGTACGCTTGTGTGCATGTATGTATGAATGGATGCATTGATGTGTGCATGTATGCATGTATGCATGTATGCATGTGGGCATGCATGCCTGCGTGCGTGCATGCGTGCATGCATACATGCATGACATTTCACATTTCACATTTCAGTCGGCAAGCGCTTCCGCAGTTGGTTGGGGAAGCGTCAGACCGATAAAGACGTAAGAGCTTGA